TTACTATTTTTGTGTGTGACTATTTCGGGAGTTTTTATTTTTACAAAAAAACATATTACTTATATTAATATATTTATTTATATTTATGGTTTTGTATTTATACTAATAAGTTAATTATAATTTATCATTTGTTATTCTAATTGTTGAATCACTTTAACGTAATAGTTTTTTATAATAATTAGATAATTCAAAGAATTTACTAGAACTGAATTATTAAAAAACAATTAAAAGAACCATAGAAAAAACCAACAATTTTTACTCAAAACAAAAACTTGAAAAGACGAGATATAATCTTGATGGAGATTGAGAGGTCTGTGGCATTTATATACCCTGAAAACTCCATTTCCGGAGATGAAACTACAGTTGGTGGGGAGCCACCAAAGTCGAAAATGAATTTGAAAGAGATATTAATGTTCCCATTGATCCTCATCTACTTTCCTCTCTTCTTTCTCCAAAAGAATGACGAGAACACACTCAACGACTTCAAAAAAGCTTTGATACCTTTTTGTATGATCTCATCATGTCGGATCATCGTGGAGTATATCATCCTCCGGCCTTTATTCAATAAAGTCCTCCCCTTCGACATTCCGAAAAAGAAAAGACGCGAACGCGGGCACTTACTGTCTAACGCCCTGTTCGACACGACCGTCAACTTTTTGTTAATCCCATTCAGCCTTCACGTCTTTTCTCTCGAAGACTGGTTCCCTATCCAACTCTTTGGCAAACAATTTGCGCCAAAGTTGTTCTTCCAAAACTTCCCAAACGTAACATACTCACCAACGTTCATCTTTTTCATTTGTTTCCAGTTGGGGCATTGCACGCACAGTTTAGTCTTCCAATTTGTGACGTCGTTCACAAAATATCAAGACGTGTCGTACCATTTATTAAAGTCGATATTTCTAACATATTCCGTGTTAATCAATTATGGGAGGGTTGCCGTGGTTTTCATTCTCCTTTTAGACATATTGGAGGTGGTCAAGAATATTCAATTTTGCGTTGAAAACGCGTCGTCGAGGATTGTGGTATTCTTAACACTAATTCTGGCGGGTGTAGTACTCCGCGTTGTGTATGTCTTCCCATTCTGCGTGATCTATCCCATCGTCAAAAATATCACACTGGTAGTGGACAAGTTCACACTCTATTCCGATGTCAAAAATTTGTTTATCGTTCTGACGACTATGCTTGTACTGCTCGGTACAACACTCTATGACGTTGTCGAGCACTTCGTCAACATGTACACATTATTCAAATCGAATCATATTATTTGTTTCTTGTTGTCTCCTCTCGACGTACTTCTGTCACTAACGGTATAAATGAATAACAAACACTCAAATAATTAAAACGGGAGTTTGAACTTGTCTAAGAAACTTTTAACGCCACCCGCCTTGCCAGGAGGTTTCGTCCAAAACGGCATTTTCCGTTGTTGTTTGTCAAGTGTTTTCAATATCTTTTTGGCTTTTTTACTCATTTTCTTACTTGCCTTTTGCCCGTCTTGAATTCGTTTCGTTGATTTGGTGGAAAGTTTGTCAATACACTTCTTGGCTTTTATGTACCTCTTCAGGATTTTTGTCTCTTTTAACCCATTACTTTTGCTCTTTCCATTTTTTATAATCTCTTTAACTCCTTTCGAAGCGTCGGAAAGCGACGTCGCCGATTCTAATAAATACAAAACGAAAATGAAAATCATAAAATGAAAAAAAAGTTTTCGTGATTGACTTCTGTTAGTCTTCAACTTTTATGTGCTTTTCGAGATTTTTTGTTTGTTAATAATTAACAGATTTTTTTTTTAGTGAGAAAAATTATAAATCTATTAATGTTTTGAATGAGTTTGTTTTTTTTTGGATTCTTCATGTTTTTTTATGTTATTGTTCTATTTTTATTATAATTAATTATTAATTGTTAATATTATTTTAGTTTTGTTGATGATGCAAGCACTCATCATTGTTTTAATGATGTAAAGAATTATAGTAAAAATATTGTTTGTTAATAGTACAAATGAATAATAATAAATAAAAACGCATTTTTGGGATGAAATGCGTCAAAAAAAGTCATTTTTTATTTTCTTGTTCAAAAATTTTATTATAAAAATCAAGTTAAAATAACAACAAAAATATATTTTATTTCTAAATATCATTTATTATTATTAATAATATGTTTAACAACAATAAAACCAAAAAACATATAAAAACATAAATTAGAAATGCAATCCTTTGACGTCATCGATAATTGAGTTTTTTTGTTTTTAAATTTTACATCTTTGATTCAATTTTACAGAACAAATGGCGAAGGACAATTCTTCAGAATTAACCACTTTATTCACAAATATTCAACTTCACATCATCTCTCAAAATTATAGAATTTCTGATCTCCTCGCTGAGAACCAGAATTTGAAAAAACAACTCGACATCTCTCAAAAGAAGATTGAACAGTCGGAACGACTCTGTGAGATTGCAATCTCTCAAAACAAAATTCTTAGGAAAAACAACATCGACACGGAAATACAGAACGAAAGCACACTTAAGGCGAAAAAAATGGTGGAGGTTGAGAACGAAAAGTTGAAGAAGCTTCTGGAGGTAGAAAGATCCAAGGCCGAGTTGCTCGAGTCCCTCAAAACGTGGCTTGAGGAGAAGTGGAACGTCGTTGAGGGTCAGATCGTTAAAATTAAAGAACAAAACATCACAACCCCTGAAAAGGATGGAAACCAAAAGA